GTCCCCCCGCCCCCCCGCCGGCGGCGCCTCCTCCCGCGCGGTCCGGGAACTGCTGTCGAGGCGGGGGACCTGGGTGGCCTGTCTGCTGGGCCCCCTAAAGTGGTCGGGGTGGCCCCAAGGTCTTTTTTAGCTAAAACAGGCCCAAACTGCCTTGTAATATTTTCAGCCACAATAACAATGCGGGAGTTTTGCAAGCTCACCTCCTCCCCAAGTGAGACTTGGCAACAGTTACTACAGCCTCTGCGCGATGTTGGTCGTTTGTGTGGACCCTGCGTCCCTGGGCTCCCTTCGCGCGCCCTCTCCCGAGTGTTCGCATTTGCGGGGCGCAGTGGGGGACCCCAGGGGCGACCTTCGCCCCCTCGGGCGGGTGCGAGTGCTAACCCAGATGTGTAGGGACACACTTGTAATTGAAAACGACCCGCGAGGAATCGGAGAGAAGTGCTTTATAGAATTTTTAGAAGACAGGAATGCGAGCCGCATCGGTTCCCCAAAAGGGCGTGGGGGAGCGATTGCGGTCGAAGGCTGGAGGCTGGAGGACCGGGAGGGCGGCTGCTTTCGCCGCCGGGTTGCGGAGCTCCGGCCCACGCTGCGGTGCCGGCTCCCGGGAATCTGGAAAATCCCTGCTTTCCAGAAATAGCCTCGGGAGGAGAGTCTCACGGGGTGATCTGATTGTGCCCGGAGAGCCGTCCTCCTCGGGGTTAGTGCAGCCCATATTGTTTCCTCCCTACTATTAGCTAGCAATTCCCAAACATTTCTTAACGTTTGAAGCCAGAACAATGATGCCGAGCCAAGCTGCTAAGTCTAGAGTTGGTCTTGGTTCGCTCCATCTTTTGTCCCGCCCTTGAACTTCTGAGAGGTTGTCCGGGGATGAGGTGCCCCGTTCCCTTTGGTTACACAGCTCGGCTTTAAGGCTTAATCCGTTTAATGGTGAAAAGAGCACTGACTCTGGGATCTGTAGGGCAAAGGGAGTTTGAATACATTTCAGTTTTGGCAAGGATGTCACTAAGGCAAAATACACTCAAAAACTCACTTTTGAAAAAGCATTAAGTCAACTCTGCTTAGTAAAGACTGACCAGTGGTTCTGAACCCTGGCAGCACATTCGCACCCTCTGGGGAGATTTTAAAAGAGGCTGATTGAGCCCTAGCCGGTTCGCTCAGTGGTTGGAGTGTCGGCCTGAGGACTGAAGGGTCCTGGGTTGATTCAGATCAAGGGTATGTACCTGGGTTGCAGGCTTGAGCTCCCGCCTCTCTCCCTCATTCCCTTCCACTTTCTCTAAAAATCAATGGAAAAAATATTCTCAGGTGAGGATTAACCAAAAAAAAAAAGGAGGGGTGGAGAGAAATGCCAAAATTCAGAGTTATAAAGGGTCCAGAATTGGGAAGAACTAAGCATATGTTTTAATTGTCTAAAAATACTAGAAATGAATTCAGGCAAGTGAATCTCTTCCATTAGGAAGGTAAATGATTGAATTTTTTGTCACTCGAAGAAAAAAATGTAATGGAAAGTCTGTAATATAGTTTGTGTATTCTTTCTCAACAGACGTCCTACTAGTAGGCCCTTAGTCCACCCAGGCCTAAAAGGAAATCAGTGATGATAACTAAAGTTGTGTTTCTGTTTCAAGACCTGCAGGCTTCAGATAATGAGTAAAGAGACAAACAGCGATATTCCTGATGTTTGTTGTTGTTAATTCTCACCCAAGGATTCTTTTCCATTGATTTTTGGAAAGAATGGAAGGGAAGGGGAGAGACAGAGAGAGGCACATTGATTGGTTGCCTCCTGCATGCACCCAGACCAGGGCCAGGAATGGAGCCTGCAACCGAGGTAGGTGCCCTAGACCGGAATCAAATCCAGGACCCTTCAGTCCAAGGGTGGATGTTCTAATCACTGAGCCAAACCAGCTAGAGCATCCTGATGCTTAAGTCCGCTCTCATTCCATTAGCCTCTCTGGGGAGTGTGTTTTCCATTATCTAAATTTTCTGGTTCTTTAATTCTAAACTCACAATTGGTATAATTTTATTAGTTCCTTCAACAATTAGTTATTCATCAGACCCCCAGAATTTAATGATGCAACACTGTAATTTTGGCTAAGGGCAAATCTTCACCTTAATAAAGAGAATGGTACACACTAAGCCCATCAAGGTGACTGGTAAGTGCATAAAGCAGAAAAGCAGTAAGCCATCCTGGTTACTGTCATCAGGGAGAATTTATAAACCTGAGAAATGACTAATCAAGTTTCTGTTCACAGCAGATATCAGAGTACCTGACTTTTTTGTGAAGGGTTCATATAGTTACATGACTAATTTTCATTTAGTCTGGTGGCGGTTATTTTTATCACTTTCTGGTCTAGTTACTCTCCTCATTAGATATACTCATTCTGGAAATGACATCTGTGTAATTCACTCTTGGCATATACTGCTTAGAAAATCTCATGCCTGCACTTGCCTGGGCATTGTGCTGCTGGGTCTGCTGAGACCTGGTTCTAAGACAGGGGTGGGCAACCTTTTTGTGAGTGCGTGCCAAAACCAGCAAAATCTCTGACTCAAAATTCTTCTGCATGCCAACCCTAATTTTTTGAGAACATGTTACGCCTACTTGATATCTCTTAAGGTGTACATATGTGAAGAACCTTGAAGAAATAATAAAATTCATTCAAGCGACAAAAACACAGTATATGATGATGAAAAATACATTTATTTTTTAATGTATACATGTACACTGATAGTCCGACAGAAAACTTTATGACTCCGTTTGATATTATCAGTGGGACTTCTGCTGCTGCATCACTGATGACAGAGATTTTACATCAGGTTTATATTTCATGACCTTCAGAGATATGCACGAGCTACTACTTTCATCAGCCAGGCTACTCCTATTATGAGACTTAACAAAATTCATCACTGAGAACAAAGATTCACAAGCATATGTGGATGAAACCAAAACACTGGTCGGATCTAGGAAGGCAGGGAGAGTTAAGGCAGAGGCATAGAAAAGTCGACATTAAGAAATTGTAAATGGAAGATTATAAGAGAGGGTTTCGCGTGCCAGCAAAAGTTACTGGCGTGCCATGTTTGGCACATGTGCCAGGGGTTGCCCACCCCTGTTCTAAGACTTTCAACAACCAGCTTTTACCCCTTGAAGTTTCACTGGGCCCCTTGAGGATCTAAAATTCTTTTGGAATCTGGTCATCCAGACATCTTGAACCTAAACTCATCTTTGGTTCCTAATTCTTCATTCTATTTTAGTTACTCAGTCCTGTTGTTCCTTCCTCCAAGGAGATAGTTCTTGAATCTGCCTGTTTGGTCTGTTCTGCCATATCTGCTGTCACTTCATGCCTGGACCACTACAACAGTTTTTTTTTTTTTTTTTTAATATATTTTTATTGATTTCAGAAAGAAAGGGAGAGGGAGAGCGAGAGCAAGAGAGAGAGAGAGAAACATCAATGATGAGAGGGAATCATGGATCTGCTGCCTCCTGCACGCCCCCCACTGGGGATCGAACCCGAAACCTGGGCATGTGCCCTTGACTGGAATCAAACCCGGAACCCTTTTGTCCGCAGGCTGATTCTCTGTCCATTGAGCCAAACCAGCTAGGGCATATGACAGTTTTCTAAATGATCTTGCCACCATTCTCTCCCATCCCTCCTTCATCCTGGGAAATTGGTAACTATCAAAATACCAGTTTCTTTACCCCACTTCCTCAAATTAAAAGCTCTGGAGATAAAAGATAGAGCTCAAACACCTTTTGGAAGTTGAGGCTTTCTACAATCTCAACTTACCTTGTCATTCCTTTCCTTATTGCATTATCACCTCGCCTTATCTCCCTTCCTCCCCCTCACGTCTCTGCCTGAACCAAGACCAGCCAGACCTATCTCCTCACAGACGTGTCATTTGTTTCCAGATTTCACACTTTCCCTCATTCTATTTCTCAAGCCTGCAACATTCTTCTCCTATTAATCAAATCCTACCAAATTTTTAAAGATCCAGATGAAGTTCTACCTTTTGCCAGAAGCCTTCCCCACCCAATCTAGCTTTCATTAATGTTCTCTTTGGATGCTCTTAAAGTATTTATGACCTCTAGTATACATTTGGACACATGATTCCATACTATTATGCATTGTTATTTGATCACTTCGTGGGTGTGTGTCTTGGCTTTTTAAAACAGTACCATTTTGGGGTTTATTTTGTATTCTCTACAGAACCTGGTAGACACTACTATGTGGAAGAAACTTAATCAAAACTTTTGCACTGAATTGTATGTTTTTCTCCTCGTGCCTTGCTTGGCAGCCTGGTCTTGCCTTTTCCTTTCTGTCCAGGGGCCCATTTCACCCTCATCCTACCATCACAGCC